CCAGGGCTATGCAGAGAGACCTTATTTTGGGGGTGATGGGGTGGTGGTGTGGGGATAGAGCTTAATGTATCACTTCTCCCCATCCCCACCTTTTTATGTTGCTATCTAAGGCAAAGAAAAACAATGTTTCAATGTTTTTTAAATTGAGGAAAAAAGAAACGAAAAATGTCCATCAAGAGTCCAGCTGGGCCGGGCGGTGGGGCGGTGGTGGCACAAGCCTTTAATCCCAGCACTTGGGAGGCAGAGGCAGGCGGATTTCTGAGTTCGAGGCCAGCCTGGTCTACAGAGTGAGTTCCAGGACAGCCAGGACTACACAGAGAAACCCTGTCTCGAAAAAAGAAAAAAAAAAAAAAAAAAAAAAAGAGTCCAGCTGGCTCTTGCCTCAGCAAGAGCTTTTGTGCAATTTCTTGCTTCAGCTTAGAAATGGCTTTTCAAGATTTCTTATTTGACAGTAACTTAAATCTAATTAACTTAAATCTAATTAATTAATTAACTTAAATCTAATCGAAATTATCAGTCTTTATTTCCTTCATACTCATTAGGAAACGTTTAGTTACTGAATATAACACACATGTAAAAAAAAAAAAAAAAACATAGCAGGGCTGGAGAGATGGCTCAGTAGTTAATAGTTAAGAACATACTGTTCTTGCAGAGGACCTCCGTTTGATCCCCAGTATCCACAAACAGGCAGCTCTCAGACGCCTGTGACTCCAGTTCTAGGTGATCTGATACCCCTCTGACCTTCTCCTCACACACACATTTAATAATTAAGATTTTTTTAAATGGGTTAAAAAAATACAAATAACATACCAAGTGAAAATTATTTCATGAAGGAATCAGTGAATGTTACTCACTCTTTTTTTTTTTTCTTTTGGTTTTTTGAGACAGGGTTTCTCTGTGTAGTCCTGGCTGTCCTGGAATTCACTCTGTAGACCAGGCTGGCCTCGAACTCTCAAACTCAGAAATCCGCCTGCCTCTGCCTCCCAAGTGCTGGGATTAAAGGTGTGCGCCACCACCGCCCAGCAATGTTACCCCTTCTTAAACAGTAGCAAACGTTGCCCTTTAAATAGTTGAATCCTACAAAAGTAGTGAGAATCTCAGTGAAATGTATGATTCTAATAATTTACACAAAATTTTAAATCCGACGTAGTGTGTGCCTGTAAGCCGAGTACCAGGAAGGCTGTAGAAGAAGGATCTCAAGTTGGAGGCCAGACAGGGCCACATGATGGACACTTACTGAAGATGAGGACATGTTTCTTACAAACACAATCCAGATGAAGATAAGGTTGCTCTCACGTCTTCTGGGCTTTAACTGGATGCACCCTAGTAAGCTATTGATATTTAAATAAATAGGTGAATCAACCACCCAAGAGGGCAGCAGCCTAGTTTATCTTGTTGGCTGACTCAATGCCAGTATTTGGGAAGGACTCTGGCACAGCACTTAGTTAAAAGGACAGATTATGCCTGAGTATTCTTTCCTTTGTAGTTCAGCAACATGGACAAAATCATCTAGGGCTTATGTGATTAAAGGAAGCTTTGTGAAAGTCACTGCTAATGCCAACAATTTCACCACACACATCTGTAGCTGACAATACATCAGCTCACTTGAGCAATTCATTACTCAGTCATATGTTCACAGTCACACTTGTTCTGGGCCTGCTCGGGTCTATCACTGAGAGCGGTCATTTCTCTCGCTGCAGGTCCTTTCCTTCCAATCACCCCTCATCCTGCTGCATTGCCTTTTCTGTCCCTGTACCACCGACGATAAGACAGTAGCTTCCGGTCACCAGCAGAGTGGACACTCCACTCTCAATGGTATATAAAACAAGTATCTGTCTCCTTCCCTTCCTTGCCTGTCCTGCCGCAGGAACTTGTCCATTTGGGCTGCGGCATTAACTTTGCTGGGCTCTTTCCTTGGCACATACATGGGAAATTCACTTAGCTTTCGGCTCCTTCTTATCTCCTCACTGATACTTTTCATAGAAGAGCTTGTCCGCTCCAATGGCTTCAAAGATTCTCATACGTCTAGACTCCCAATAGCCTGGCTCATTCTCTGGACTTTTCTCTACTAGTTGTCTACACAGCATACCTTAATGGACTCTTCATAGATGTAATACTGAAGAGTAACTTAAGATAACCTTCAATTACCTGTACTGAAAAAGGCCTCCAACATAAAACTAAAAAACCCAGTCAATGGTTTAAACCAAATAACTCATTTGTCTTTTGTTGTTTGTTTTTGTTTTTGTTTTTTCAAGACAGGGTTTCTCTGTGTAGTCCTGGCTGTCCTGGAACTCACTCTGTAGACCAGGCTGGCCTCAAACTCAGAAATCCACCTGCCTCTCATTTGTCATTTAAAACTTGTCCTTATCCACACTTATCAAAGGTCACTGTTGAAATAAGTTTGGTTACCACAAAGCTACACATAGTTTAGTTTATGATAGTAAATATAATATACATATAATAGTTCAAGCTAAAAAAATAAATAACCAACCAACCAAACAAACAAACAAACAAGTCAATAACCTCCCCACCCACCCACCCACCCAAATAACTGCCTTCCATTCTGTCAGAGGATAAAGTCACCAGGCTTCCAGGCAGCTCTTAAAGGGCATTTGGAAAACTTGATCCAATATCTTCAAGATCACTTGAAGAAATTTTAACACTGCCTCCACACAAAAAGGGTCTCAACTTTTATTTTGTAAGTGAATATTTTTAAAACAAAATAAATCCCCTCCATGTAACACCTGACTTTGTCATTTTAATGAGAGAAAAGTTCGATGACTATAAAATGGCAATAAAACAAAAATATAAGGAAAGTTACTATTTTTATTTTACTCTTATTTTTTCTCATTTCACTTAAGACCTATGCAAACATTTTTTCCAATCAGATATCAGTAGAGTGACTAGATTCTGATATCCATTGTTCTGAGTAAAAATTATTAAATCAATTGAACGGTTATTAATTTTTCATATTTTGAAAACAATGAAATATTTTGCTTGGGCTAGTGATATAACTCAGTGTTAAGCCTTTGCCCAGTATGTTTAAGGTCCTGTAGCACTGAAAACAACAACAAATAAAGAAACACCAAGATATCTTTGTTTAAAAACAAAGTATTGAGAAATAAAAGCAAACAAGCAAATCAACTCTCACTACATGAAACTGCTCTGAGTTCACAGCTGCACATTAACGCCTATAGGACCTATAGGACCTATAGGACCAGGGATTTGTGTTCTGCTTTTGGACACAAACAGGAATTAAGTTCCTCAGAGACATTAAAATGAGACAAAGCAAGCTTGTATCATGATTTTGTCTACACAATGAAAAAGAGTACTGTGTAACTCAACACACAAGACACCCATCTCCGGCTATGTCAAAGAGCCACTTGTTATCCAGTAATTGCTCCTGCTTCTAAAATTACTCTCCAACAAATCCTGGATTAAGTTCAAATTCCGCAACGAGTCTTTTGTTTTGAATTTGATATTTACCCCATGGTTGAAAAGATGTATATCAGTCTCTCACATCAAACACTAGACCTAATCCACTCCACCATTTTGTATCCTTTTGTAATCTTTGGACAAAAGGCATAGACTATCAAAATATGAAATTCTTCAACAATTCTTACAATCCCAACTTAGTTTGGTAAATCAATTCTCTAGCTACACTAGAGCAAACGCTTTATTTTTCCTTATAATCTTTCAATCTTTTGTACATACTATGTGGGGTTTGGTCACTGAAATGACTCTGTACACTATTCTGCATTCTACTCTGTTTTGGTGTGTTGTGTTTTGAGACAGGGTTTCTCTGTGTATCCATTGCTGTCCTGGAACATCCGCCTACCTCAACCTCCCAAGTGATGGGGTTGAAGGCATGTGCCACCACTGCGCTGCTGTGCATTCTACTTTTATCTACTAACTATTCTAGTGGCTGGATAATATACTGCCTTTAAAAAAAAATCAAAAAGCATTTTTCCTTCTAGGAATAAAATAATTAAAGGAACTCCTACTGCTCGCATTCGCAATGTCTTGCCTCTTTTCGACAGGCTCAGGTAAGGTGCATCCAGGTTCCTAGTTATCAAATCTGGCAACAAAACAGCCTTCAAAGCCGGGCGGTGGTGGCGCACGCCTTTAATCCCAGCACTTGGGAGGCAGAGGCAGGTGGATTTCTGAGTTCGAGGCCAGCCTGGTCTACAGAGTGAGTTCCAGGACAGCCAGGGCTACACAGAGAAACCCTGTCTCGAAAAACCAAAAAAAAAAAAAAAAAAAAACAGCCTTCAACGCTATAGTCTTTACAGAATCGATCTATGAAATGTCGCTGTCAGGCTGTGGCCAAGAGGCTGAACTTAGAAATGTTTCTGTGAACAACGATGTGACCTCTGGCTACATTTTTCACTCCAGGGTTACTTCCTCTTCTACTAAATACAAGAGTCATGTTAGTCCCTCACTGTCTCTTGTGGATAAAGTCTGTGGCCTTGTGACTTAGTCGCGCAGCACTAAGACAGACATTCCATGCCTGGGCGTGAAGGTCACAGCCAGCGCAGCCTTCTTACGGGGGCGGGGTAGGGGAGGTTCACATCATCTGGGCTAACACTGCATGTGACCCATAACTTCCTGCGATTTCTTCAGGAGAAAGCACTAGGTAACCAGGCAGAATATGCCACAGCCACCATGTCAGCTTTTTCTCTGGAGAGTTCCGCCTACAGTAGCTAGTAGTTCAAATATTAACACCAAGACTGGAGAATGAGTGAATCCAACCCAGTCGTTCATGAAAGCTAGAACTTTTCTAAAATGTGTATCCGGTCCATACAGCACCAAAGCGACTTCGCCCGGGGTTCCCAAGGCGCGTTTGCACCTATACTCCGCGGAACCGAACCAGAGTCCCCCGGAAGATGTAGCCCGCAAGCAGGTGTCCCTTGCCCGCCCCGCCACAGCTGCGCCCACCTCCCCCTGAGCCCGCGCCTGCACCTGCACCCCCATCTGTGCCTCGGCTGGAGCTCACCCACCGGTGGCACTTGCTGTGCCTGGGCGCAGGTGACAGCCGCGGCCAGGACCCAGATGAGGAGACTTTGGCCCAACATCTTCCCAGCTGCAAGCGCCGCTCTGAGGGACTCCAGTAGCAGCAGCAGCTGCAGCAGAGACCATCTCCACCCGGAGCAGGCCGCGCCCCGACGCGTGACCAGCGACCCCGGGCCACACCATGCACGGCAGGGGACACCCCAGAGATGGAGTCCCTAGAGCGGAGACGGCGCACAGGGCCAAGAGGGGCTGTGCCCCCAGCACGCCAGGCAGTGGTTTCGTCCAGCCTTAGCCGCACCCCGGGGCGGGGCTTCCAAGCGCCTTCGCTCGCTTGGAGCTTGGGGGCCCCCTGCTTGACGCAGGTGCCGGAGGATTCCTCGGGGCGCACACCCACTGACTCGGGAGAGGCTGGTTCCTAGGGGTCGAGGTTCCTAAGCCCACCAAAAGGACAGAATCTCAGCGCATAATGTCAGACCCACTGTGCCTTCTGGGGAAGGCTGGCCCAAGTGAGTCACCCAATCCATCCATCCTGCCCGAGGGATCACTACCAGAATGGACAAGTGTCAGGGCCAGGACCTGGAAGTTTCATCTCTCCAGTACTCTAGGTACTTAAAATAAAGGACTGCTAAATTCTAGGATTTAGACTTTAATTTCTTGCTGTTATGTCTGGGGTTGGAGAGGTTGAAGGGGTGGGACCTTCATCGATGTATTTGTCGCATTACTCAACTCCTGTTTTTCTTTAGCTCATGAGAAGTCAGGTTGGTCTAGCTGACCTAAACCTAGGACAGGGACTTGGTACCTTCATAGTCTACTTTGAAAAGCAGATAGAAGTGTAATACTTGCTTGGCCTTCACACCATCCTTGGACAAGGCTCTCCATAATAGAATGAGTTACCTGGAATCCAACAGGAAAAATTGCCTTCTGAATTTACATTTTCTGCTTCGATGACAGACATCTCAAGACGTTCAGGGGCTTTATTTTTTAATATTTCTTTAAAACTAATTTAATCCTCATCCCACCCCTGTGCTGGGGATCTGAGTATTTCTCCTTTTTGCTGTAAAACCACTTAAATTTGGAGGCAGATGATAAATAAGTTGTATTTTTTTTTGAGGAAGTTTAGATGTTGAAACACAGCACAGGATTAAGAAACACTTAGAATCTTACTTAGGTAAGCAAGATCAGAAAATACTTTTTGAAGGGGGAACACTAAGGACTGTGGTAGACAGGGACCTGAGGCAGAGAGCTATCTTCAGTTACTGACTGGGGTTTCAAACCTGCCTAGACAAAATAGCAAGATTTCATCTCCAAAATAAAACAAAACAGAACATACCAGGGCTCTGACAACAGGGTTTGAGGAAGCAACAAAAAGACACAAAGATCTTCCCTTACGAAACTTACTAGATGGGAAATAGCAAACACCAGGCATATGAGCTTTGTCTGTAAAATAGCAAGCAAAAGACTGTAAATGTTAGAGAGACAGAGCAAGAGACAGAGCGAGAGAGAGCGAGAAAGAGAGGGAGAGGGAGAGAGGGAGGGAAGGAGGGAGGGAGGGAGGGAAGAAGAGGAGGAGGAGGAGGAGGAGGAGGAAGAGGAGGAGGAATGAATATGGGGCAAGGAGTATTGAGAATGTAGAAGCTCGAGGCAGAGTAGACATGATTGGAAAGAGAAGGTCTGAACAGTAAGTGGTGGAATTAGTCTGATGGATGCTCAGGAAAGCATCCTGGAGACAGAGTGTCTAGTGCAAAGGCAGAACAGGGAGAATGTGACTGAACAAAAGCTTTATATGGTGAAATGATAAATGTTTCAAGAGTTATGCTTACTCTGGTGTAAAGGTTACACTTTGCGGATTACACATCAAAGCATTATGCTGTCCTCCATCACTACAGTTTCATGTTTTATGCATAAGTCAACACATCTTTAGCAAGTGAAATGCTACAACCCAGTTTTTAAATTATAGGACTAAGTTCAGCTGTTTCTGGACTTTCATGCTCATTTCTTCATACTAACCCAAAAGTAAGGAAATAATGTAGATTCTCTTAAATGGTTTCAAAATAAAAGCATTTTATAGAAACAAAAGAGTAACAAAAGACCAAGGACATTAGGCAGAAATCTAAAGACAAGAGTGTTATTTTTTAAAAGTGTCAAGCATGTTCAGCTACACCAGAAAAGCCAGTGTGTCTGGAGCTGAGGAATGCGGGGAAAAATAAGCTAGGTCAGAGATGAAGGAAGGAAAGCAGATTAAAGACAAGCGCCATTGTAAGGACTGGGACTTCACTCTGGGAATTCTTATAATGTTGAATACATACGGTCAGTGATGACTTTGATCACATGGCTCACTGGTTACTTTGCCTAGGTTACTATTCAGAGCATTTTCAGCATGTCACCGAACGTTCACATAAACTGGCACGATAACCTTATACACCATCTTCATGTAAATAACTTTCAAAACCTACCATATACATTGGCTTTTTTTTCTTTTCAGGAAAATTAAAATTTAAATCTACTTCCTTAAAAGTGCATCATATTATATACGTCTCCCCTCACTGCATTCATGCGTGCACACACACAAAGACACACGCAGAGATTTTTTTTTTTGAGTGTTCAGTGAACAAAGAGCTTTGCAAATGCTACGAAAGGTCACATTGATGACTTCTATCCCTAGCCCTCTTCTTATGTTTTAAGGAAGCAACGCTGAATTTGCTCGGCCTTTCAAGTTGCTAATATTACAGGGGTTTAACCAATTTTTTTTAAAAAAATCTACTCAATTACCAATGCTAAAAGTATACAGAAAGTCAAATCAAGATGTGTGGTTATAGAAAACTTTATAGGGGTTTAAGCATACTGATATATTTAGAGAGATGATATTTAAATGTATTTGTGAATGATTATGTGTATAGAAAAGGTGACTTAAACTCTCCAAAGACATACTGAGTCTGAGGCTTGGATAAGCTGTTTAGTATTTGAAAGTAAGCATAAGTATTGAAATTGTTCATAGGGATAGCTGAGGTTTTTGACAAGCCATAGACTTCTGAACCTCCTAGTGAAAGTTCCTATTCCTCAGGTGGAGCGCTGAAATAACTGTAACCACCCTAAATGAAGTCTACCATGTACTCGGAAGTACGACTTGCTTTAATAATGATTAAGTACAGCAGCTTGTAGTAGAAGGTAAGAAATATGGACATAATATTTGTTTGAAGAATAAATGTTTTAACAGAATAGCTTACCACGTTTAAGTATATGTTTCTAAAAGCAAAAATGTTTAGAGGAATTGGGTATGTTTTACACACCTGTAATCCTAAATCTTCAGGACTGTAGCTTTGAAGTAAGCCTGTGAGACTTTCTGTCATGATCTCAAATAAATTAATATTTAATTTTAATTAAAGTACATTTAAGATGTGTTTTAAGAGTGTTTTTTTCTGTCTTTCAGGAAAGAATAAAGATGATAAGAGATAAAAGTAGAAAATCAAAGGTCATATAAAATTATTACATTTTATTTCTTCTAGTCGCTTTATCATGCCAAGGGTTACTTGTTTTTTCCTCTTAATTTTTAAATTTAAAAAATGTAAAATATTACCTCAGCTTAAGATAAGGCAATAATGTTTTGTTACAAAACTAAAAATTTAGTGTTCATATTTAATCTAATTGTCCCTCTATTAATGTCAAAAGTTATAACAATTATCTTTCCATTTGTACTAAATCCCTATTTCTTTGTGAGACACTGTGAAGTTATATTGAATCAATGATAACTCATATAAGTTACATTTGAAGTACCATTTCAAAAAACATCCTGTTCTATTTTACTTTTTCCTAAATGAGATATACTTTTGACCAGGATATTACTCATTTATTTTTTCATGTGTGCTAGAACCTTGTACATTTTAAACACAGGCCATTGAGCTACCCCCCTAGTCCTGAAGGCTCTTTCAACTTAAATCTTACAATAACTAAACTATTCTAACTTTATATAACACTGTACTTTACATAAGTGATTTTAACTAGCTACTTGATGCTTCAGCAAATTGCTTCTAGTGCATTTGTAATAAATGTATTCTCCCAAAAAAGACTGAGCACTTAATACAAGTGTGAGGAGTCTACTCTTTGGCTTGTATTGATGATGTTTCAGGGATCACAGTTCCAGTCCTGTCATGTAGCAGCTACTGGATGTGAATGAGACCTAACCTCACTGTGAGCCATTACTGACCTAAGACATTTGAGATTACTCTGCTGAAATACTTGGCTTAGGTCTTAACTCAGATACTTGTATCAAACAAGCTGTGATTTGAAGCCCAAGGCTTGTGCTGTATAGTCAAAGTAGTTGCCTTCTCTGTTTGGACAGAGAAGAGAAACTTTATAGTCCAATGCTGTTGGCAGTCATGACACAAACCTGAAGGGAGCTACCTAAGATGAAATAGATTGACAGTGGACAACTCAGTGGAAAGGTTAAAAGAAACTGGGTCATCAGTGGCATTGTTAGGACGTTAGATCAACCAATCCCCACGCCTGCCTGACAGCTGGACTCCATATTTCCATGGGCCACTCCACTCCTTATTACTGAAGCCTTATTACAAAGCCTATGACTCCTTATCACAAGGTTCCAGTTGCTTTGCTTCCAAGTTGAATTGTGGTGGTATAGAGTAACCTAACTGATGTACACAGAGAAATAAGTATCACCTTCTAAGTAACAGATGAGGACTACTTAAAGGTATGGAGCCTGCATCTCAGTTCCTGTACTGGCTCAGGAATCTTGCTGGCCTTCTACTGAATTTTATGCTTCTAATTTTATATTCTTTTCTTCAGAAAGAACTGCTCAAATTGTATGAGCTTAGGATCTAAATCAGCTATTTTGAGGAGAGAACTTGACCTTCCCCCTCAGAATTCTTCCATTCATGTCTCTCTAAGGGAGGAGTGACTTATGCAATTGACAGTTGTAGGACTCAGAGTACATGTATGACCTGGTCCTTTCCTTGGCTCTCTCATTCACCTTCCACAGAAATATGTTCACTGCATATAGCCCTAGATGACAAGAACTAAAGTAGCAACAGTTGCTGTCTTTCCCATGTCTTCCCAGATAGGTAGATCTCTCAGGAATCTTACAAATACAAGTGTAACATGATGTTTTGTAAATTCCAGAGAAAGCACCTTGAAAGGAGCGCTTCTGAAGACACGTGGAGAAGGA